TAGTGAGGCAGAGGAGAGAGAGACATTGTTTTTGCTTTTGTTTTACAAAAAGAAAAAAAAACCCCCAAGCAATTAAATGTATAGACATGTCTTTCAAGGAAATCGTATGAGAAAGACCAATGAGACAGGAAGAGATGGATTTTATATATTTATTCCTAAGTAATCTTTGCCAGAAGAGGGAAGGCTATAAGATGGACCTCATGATGCTCTAGGTTGCTAGAAAAAGTCCTTCCTATCTTTCTCATCCTACACCAGGCTCTACAGCTAGAATACTGGTTGCCTGCTACTCTTACTTCGAACCAAGCCCACTATCTGCTTCGTTTTGCTAAGAAAGAATGACCATATCACTCCAAAGAAAGAGTGGAGGTAGTCACTCATCTCAGCCCCGCTCTGCCATTTCTTGAGTTTGAACACTGTACTTAACCTTGTCTCATTTACAGAGCTCCCTCTGTGCTGAATAGCTGAGCAGTCAGAATGCTGATCTCACTATGACTGAAACAGTCTCCTAAAGTAGCGCTCCTGTAATTCAGCTTCTCAGAATCTGTTATTTAAGTGGGTATCTTGGAAGTAATGGCTTTGAACAGAAGGCCAAACCTGTCTGTCCCATTCTCACAATAAAAAAGAAAAGCCCATCTATAGATTGATAAGCCTTGTAGGGACTCTCACTGACAGTTGGCAATAAACTGACTGTATTGCTTGCTTTCTACAGCCTTAAGTCAGCTGAAAAGACAGTTTGTTAATGGATTGCTAAAATTAAAAGTACGTAGTCTCAAGCTTTGTATGTCAGACTAACTACCCTTTCAAATCTTAAGGACATTCACCTGTAATCCCAACTATGCAATAGCTAGTTTCTGTTACTCTGTTAAAAGGTATTCTGTGCACATGGCTTTGAAAATAGGTTCTAAAACTAATCTCTGGTTAGTGATTGGAGGAAGGGCACGTATGATGACAAAGTGCTCAGGACGGTATACAAGTTTAACCTTTGCAGCAGTTGAGTGAGGCATATTAAGAAAGAAAATGGTAAGTTCCAAGGCAGAGTGAGGATCTGATTCAGGTACACTCCAGGGGAAGCTCAGCTTTCTAGCAACCAATAACTTATTATGCCATTCTCTTTGCCCATGCAGATAAAATGATTAGCTTTAATCTATTTTAGAGACAAAAGCTGTTTGGTTTTTAAGATGCTGAATGAGATGGGGAGAGGAGGAGACTTGTACGTAACCAGGAACAGGTATTCCCATTTTTCCAAAGTTTAGAAAGATCTGACATCTACAGAGTTGGAACAACTGTTTAGATTATCTCTTAGAAAATCATGAATTTGGGAGTGTACATTGTGTGGCATGACTTATTTTAAATGAGAGACAATGGGGAACCCCCCCCCCCTTCATTGGTTCTATTCTATGGAAGCCAGCTCCTTTACCCACAGCTCCATAAAGAACTGTTGATGTTTCTCAGGAACAAAACCGCGGCACTGTCCACAGGTTTGCAGGCCCTTCTTTTGTTCAGTACTGTACCAGTTGCCATATGGGGAAAGAACTGGACTTAAAATAAACAAACCTTTATGTGAAAGCTCACATATGTTTATATAAACACACACACATACATCTATATAGGCATGAGAATCCCTACAATTTATTTTGTTATTATTGCATTATTTTTCTTTTTCTCTTTTTGTTATTCTTTTATAATTTTACTTTTTCCTATCGGTTCTATTACATAAATAAAGCAAATATTTAAAGGGAAAGTAGTAGACTTAAAAGGCGGAGTCCTGCCATCCCAAATGGTCCCACCTTTTCTCCTTGTGTAGGACTCTTCCCTATTTCACTTAGGTATCATTTAGATCAATTTTACATTCTTAGATACTGTGGTCACTGCTGTTTTATAGGAAGTTAAGTGAGAAGATATGTTAATATCCTAACTCCCTATAGCAGCTTTCCCCCAAATTGGTGTCCTCCACCTGAGTTGGGACTGCAGCTCCCAGAATTCTCACTGAGCATGATGAAAAGGAAGAATCAGCCTGGAAACCAGGAGACTGTGAATCCTGCCTTAGGCACAAAGCTAGTCCCTCTCTTACAGCCCTAGGAAGAAGAAGACAAGGGCAAACCACTTCCAAAAAACCTTGCCAAGAAAACTATATGGACTTGTCCATATGTGTGGCAGGAATCAAGACTGACTTGAAGGTACTGAAAAAAGATAAAAGGCTGGAAATTCTAGAAGTTACAATTCCAGCATATCTGGAAATCAGTTTGAAGGAAACTGCCCTGTTGCTTTTACCAAGCTTTCATCTGTCTTCTAAATGCAGCCTTTTGTCTTTATTACAGGGACATCTGCTATTTTTTTCTTTTCTCAACAGAGTTCACAACCATTTCATTCTCAGCATACATACTCAATGCATATTATGTAATGTATCCAAGGATTCTTACAACCTACTGGAGGAGTCCTGGCTGTTAGCTACACTTTAATGGGAAATGGTTATTTTAGAATACAAGTGCTCCATAGAACATCATGGGCATTATTTAGTTCAGAACTTTTCAGGCTCCACAACACAGTTCAGAAAGAACTATTGTTTCACAGAACAAGCAAACATACTTTGGTATAACCAGTTATGTATCAGTAACCCAGAGATCTCTTGCTAGCAACTTATAAACACATTAAAAGTTATCAAGACAATGGGGAGGAAATGAATGTAAAGTTAATTGCCAGTACGGGTATAGATTAGAGAAAAATGATGTTAGGTAATAATCAGCTTGTCTTAGCATTAACCCCATTGGCAAACAGTCTAGGGAAATCAGAAGGCTTCTACTGGCAAGGGGACAAAATCATTTTCATACACCTGGAGGATTTCTGTACAAAATTTATATAGGAGCATTCCAAACACAAGAGAACTGGCAAAACTATTTTTAGGAAATCCACTGCTATGATCTTCACAGTCATATATAAAACAGGAATTTGAGGACTTCTAGCAGAAACCTGCTTTGAGGTTATGTTTAAGTTGTCAGACTGGCAGGCAGTGTGTTTTGACTGAAAAAGGAAAAGTTTCTGAAACCCAACAGCTATCTTGATGCAGGTGACTTTGGAAGTGTTGGGGGGGAAAAAAGAGGAAAAAGTGAGAGGTGAGCCTGCTCTATTTTTAAATATTGCCCACTCAGATGCACCCCCAATACAATCTCATCTGTTTTGAATAATTGAGGACCCTGGTTGAGGAGGGTCTTCCTTCACTTCCTTACCAGTATTTTTAAATGGAATGCGGCTCCATTATAAGCAGATGGCTTTTACTTATATAATTTCCTCTCCACCAAAATGACAGGATTGCAGTGCCCTGGCACTTTTAGCCTCAGATTACATACTCTGAGACTACACCAAGACAAGATGACCTGGCCTTGCAGTCTAGCCTTTATCTAGTTTCTCCTTCATAGAATTATTAAGAGTTTGGCCTATGCACATACAACACCCACACCAAAGGCTGCCAGAGAAGCAGATGGTAACCTCCGTGTGTGTGTGTGTGTGTGTGTGTGTGCGTGCATATGTATACACATCTGCTCTGTGGAGGAAGGACAACGCTTACCCTCTAGCTTGCTGTCGGCCTTCTCTTCTGCATTACGAACCTCCCTCTGCTCAATTTGGGCTGGATCAAACTTCTCTGGAGAAAGTATGTCTCTTTTATCATCTGAAAAGAGGAAATGGACAAATATTCCTGGATGGAGCAAAGAAAGTGACAGATGTTCTGTGTCCCTGCCCCCGCCCCCTCCATTCTCTTTGCAGTTTCTATCCAACTTGATTGCTGAAGAAAAAGTCATAAAAATATTTAACAGCATTATAGCCTGCTGGCAAGAAACCACTGCTAACTGCCTAAGCCTATTAAAATGCAAGCCCTGGCCTTAGAGAGCTGTGCAATGGGACACTTATGCAATGCGGCACCTGTCAAGATCTTCTGGCTCTGCATTCCCAATGAGCAGAATGGTGTAGCACCTGATGCTGAGCAAAGACGTGAACAATTGCACAAGAGAGAGGGCAGGATCTACCACTGCCAACAATTCGGTGTCCCCCCTTTCCCAAGCAGAGACTGAAACAGCTCTTCAGCAGTACCTCCATCAAAAGAAAAAATTGTAATTTAGGTCAGGGCAAGCAGGAGCCTGGGAATTCATCACTGTAAGTTTTTACATTTCCTCTTACACGTAAATATGTTTTTTAAAGTGCAACAAAAGCAGGTCATAATTATTTTGCTTGGGATATAAAACCCACACTGTTTTATTGCAGAAGTGGGCTTCTTTCTTTCTGTAAAAGCTAAGATGTGACTATGTGGGAGAAAACATTGGCACAAGGTAGACATTGCAAATAAATGGATGGAAGCCTTGTGGCAAAGAAACAGCTGTGAACAGGGCAGGTCAACGGAGAAGGCAAAGTTAGGAATTTGTCACCTCAAAAGCCCAGCTAAGACTTTCGCAGTTCAGGCTGGTGTGGCTTTGATGCCCCTGCGGTTCTTCCAGGAGTTCTATGGCACAAGCCAATTTCTATAATAATTTATGTCAAGCATATAACTGCAAAATCTCAGAAGACCAAGTAATAGACTAAACTCTCCTGGAACCAAAAGAAGCAGAGAAAAGTACATACGTGTTTCATTCTCCTTCTCCGTGGATTTTACTTTTTCTTTGCCATGTTCAACTACTTGCAAGTTGGCACTATTCTTCCCACCCGCAGCCTTGTCTTTCTTCTCGTTCTGCTTTTCTAGCTGAACATCTCTGTAAGGAGACTGATCATCCTTGTGTGCAACCACCTCTGGCACTGGCTTTGGGTCTTTTATGGGCTGGTCTTCCAACTTTTTTTGGCCATTATCTTCATTTGCTTGTTTAGGAACAACTTTAAGCTCTTCCTTCTCCACCACAGGATAGTTCTCTACCAGGACATCCTTGTCTGCTGGTGGCCGATTCTGTTCAGGTTCCTCCCGGTCCTGACCCTCATCCACTGCTACCCCATCACGTGGTACTGGTGGCTCATGGCGATGAGCTTCTCCTACAGGCTGTGCAATGCCTATATGAAAAGAAACACAGATTATCAAGCAAGAACAGCACAGAAAGCTCCACATTTGGTGAAGTACAATTCATGCATGTTTATAATGTGGCTTCTACAATGCTATCTGACCAAATAAATAGGAACTGGAAATGACAACAAGTTGTAGATCTGCTGCTTATCTGCCTTCAATGTTTCTAGCCTCTATTACTCTGTCCAGTTCTAATTCTACAGTACCTTGATCAGGCCGGTCCAGCTGTACCTCCTCCTTTGGTTTCTCCTTCTCTTCTCTTTTAGGCATATCCATTGGAACTTTGATCTGTGGCTGTTCCACCTCTTCTTTCTCATTCACTAATTTGGGTCTGTCACGGTTATCAGCCACTTCTTGAACTGCTGGGTCTTGGTCTGAAAAGCATGGTTAGAAATGGTTAAGGAAACAGATTGTCCAGCTGGCATACAACCAAGCTCCCCATTACTCGTGTGGCTATGTCTCCTGTTGTTTTCTGTTTTTAATAAAGTGCAGCTGCCCTAGAAAAGGGGTTGTTAGTTTGACAGCATCAATTGTGCTTGGGAAAAGGCAACCTTTCCTTTTGCCCTGTGCCATCTTCCCCATCTATACACCACCATACTGGTATTTCCTCCATAAGGAGGAAGGAGAAATCTGAGTGTTAAGTGCAAACTCAAGAGGCTCTTTAGGTGTAAGAAGTGGCACTAAGACCGGACTACCATTCTAATCAAATAAACAGCCTTTCTCTCTCTCTCTGAAACACACACACAGCTCCATTTTATAGTACAAGAGAGAAGTTAGGAAAAATAATCACAGATCTCCTGTGTACACACACACACGCACAAGATTGTGCTACATTATTAGCACTAACAAAATGCTGCTGTTTGGGATGTGTGGACACTAGATGGCAGCATTGCTCTTGCTCATTTACATGCTATGCATGATAAACAGTGTTCAGGCAGTGAAGATACTAGGCATGGTCAAGGGAACTTACCTGCTGAAGTTAGCAACCCAGAGGAAACATACTAAGGGCTTGGTTTACAACAGAAGAGAAAGAGGTAGAGAGCAAAGAGGAATTCCCAAAAAGGGAGGAAACCAAGAAAGAAAGGCAGAGAGAAGAAAGGAGGTATCTGAAGGCAGTCCAGGGCCTGTTTATTCAGGCCTCTTGCTGTAGCGATTGCCAGCATTCCTCATTGCATGCAGAGAATACTGATACAGGCAGACCACACTGCTAAAAACAGAATAGTGGGAGGCAGGGTGTCATATAAGAGGGTTCAGGCTTTCCCAGTGATGCCTCCAGTTTAAAGCCTGACATTGCTCTCTGCAGGAAAGCAGCCTGCAGCAAGGAGGAAGAGTGACAGTCCCACTCCTGGGTTTTGAAATTCTGCAGGTGGATGGGGCAGATCCCTCTCATCTCCAGCTGCTTTTACTGAACAAACGGTTAAGAATACATCTAACCTCTCCCCCATCCAACTGAAAACACAGATATTCACCTTGAAAGTCATTTTAATAAATGAGAACACGAAGACTATATTTGGCATTATCAGGGGTCTACATTGTGAAAGAGCCTGAGGAGTTAGCTTTACAAAAAAAGCAGCGCAGCTCAGACTGTTCCCTCACTTCTGGCAGCTGAAGTCACGCCAAGCATTTCCTGCAGAGTTGAAGTCTGAAATAGTCATTCTCACACGTATGTGAACACCCTTCTCCGCCCTGCCCCATTTTCATTCTCAGCTCCTTGTGGGCATTAACTCTGCCTCCACCCACACACCTTCCAAGTGGGGCAGATGATCTCCAGCAGGTACACAAGGTAGCCTATGGTGCTAGGAACAGAACATAGTGGGGAAAACACAGGGGTACTTGCCTTCAGGCAGCTGCCTGAGCATTGTCAGGGAGACCAGGTGCAAGAGAAAGCCAAGCAGCTGAAGAATTACAGCCAAGGCCCTGCTTCCAAGCCAAGCTGGTTCCATGTTTCAGAGAGCCCTTGGGAAAGGTGCTCTCCATTCAAGCTGCATCCTCCTCAGTTTTCACTCTCTCTCTCTCTGGCCCCAGTTCACACTCAGTCTAAAGAGCACATTGTTACTCTATTTTTTGGGGTCCAGCCTTCCCTAACCTGGGCTCTTGCTAAGTGTGTGGATTTCAACTTCCAGATTTCCCAACAACAGCTTTCCTGGCTAGAAAATGTTGAAATCCATACATCTGGAGAGAACGCAGGCTAGGGAAGACTGCCTTAGTCATCAGCTGCTCAGATGGGCTAGGCCAATAGGCAATGAGGAACAATTGAATGAGCGATCTCAAACTCTAGCCCACCTTTTGTTCAAAAGAACCTATCAGGGCAAGTGGGGGGAAAACACTATCTAGAATACAGAGTTACCAAGCTTTGGGTTTCTAAAACTGCTTGAAAGTGGTCAGAGGCCACAACTAAACTAGAACCTCACAGACTTGTGGAATCTGGTAAATTACAAAAGCACCAGGACAGGACACTGCATCACAGTGACTTTTGAGACTTTTCTGTACTTGCAAGCTAACAAAAACTGACTGAATTGTAAGCAACTATATTTGGACAATATGATTGTCTGACAGCCGTGATATAAAAGAGGTAATCAGTATTTTCAGAAACGCAAAATACAAGACAATGTCTGTAGTTACAACAATTGTAAAAATTTCCCCAAAGTCTTCTGCTGAAATTGGTGTAACTGGCTGTCCCTGGAGGGGTATGTTGGCGCTGTTGAAATTGCAATGGCATATAATCTAGATGAATTGTGAAACAGAAGTGCGACAATGTAGGATTAGGCCTGGTGTGGCCGGTTGCCCAGGTTATTTGGGAATCTTTCCCCTAAACCTCAGTGGCTTCTGAATGCTGGATTTGATGCTAAATATATGTTAAATCTGATTTCTCAAGGCAAGGCCACTCTTTACCTACTGCAATATTCAAGAAATGAAGAGTGCTTGTTTCACACACCCACTCACCAGGGTACCAAGCGCTGCAGGTCAGATCCCTCCCACACCTTAAGCTCAAGATTCTTCAGAGAAAATGTGGACAGAATCCTGCAGAAGCCTTATGTCCTTAAACCTGGCAGCGCTTTTGTGGCAACGTGAGGATATGTTTTTTTTCTAAAATGAAATCACTGTGTTTCCATGATCCTTGCTAGACAGACTGCTGAGTTCTGTCCATACAGTTTGGATACGGGGATTTAGGAACCATGCAGAGGTGGGCACCCTACAGCCCTTGGGCTGCATGTGGCATATTTTTGCAGTTCCCAGAACTCAGCAATGTCAGCAACAAAATTATAATTTTCAACAGGGTATGTATGTCTACTTTTTTTACTATTTACAGTATAAAGCAAATGCATTAAGCCCCTGGAAATACCTATAACACCTATTTCCATAAGCCCAAACCCTAAAAAGAAAAAAAAAATCTTCAAATTTCACCTCAGCCTGCTTCAGTGAGGCAATCATCATATGCCATTATGTCAGCACCCAGCTGAAAAGGTTGCCCACTTCTGGACTTGGGGAATAAAAAGAAAAGACTACGGGATGGGAACAAATATTAATGGGCAATAAGACTGGCATTGCTAGGCATGAAGGAGCACTGGGAGACATGCATAAGACTGAAAACTTGCTCTCTGACTTGAGAAGCCCAGACTAAGAAGGCCAAACCACATATGGCACTGGGGGTGGAGGGAAGATTACATATACCAATCTTCCCCAAGTTGGTACTTTCCAAATACGTTGGGTCTATGGAGTGGTGTGCTGGTAAATGTTTAACGACTGGCTTTCCAGGTTCATTGCCACCGCCATGCTTGCCTGCTAGCCACTGAATGTGCTAGCTGTTGTGACTCAGGTCTGCTCTCAACTGGCTCGCAAAACTCCAGAAAATTTAACAATCGACTCTTGCAAGCCTGTATGAGCTGGCTCCAGCATACTGCTGGGTCTACAGTTCCCAGAAAACCAAGCTAGCATGGCCTTTATGAATGGCCATGTGAAACCCTACCTTACAAACCCTGCTTTTTAAACCATACACGCATATTTGGATGCTGCTGGGAACACTGTTTCATAACTCAGAGACACGTAGCATGCAGTTTTCAAACACAATGGCATGTGCTTTCCCCTCAATGGGCCACATAGGAAAAAAAAAATCCAGCGTGAAGCAGTTTTGAGCCATTAAAATGTATTTAAATGCCTTTAAACTTCCAAGTTTTCTTCATCTCCGCTATGTCTAAAGGAACTTACTTTAAACAAAAATAGTGGATTTGATGTAATATGTAAGCAAACAATGGGTCAAGGTTTGCAGTTGTGCCTATTTACAAGGACATTCTCTCTCCTCAAAATCCTGATTACCAATAACTCGGGGGAACAGTGCAGCTGCAAAGCCAGAGGTTTAGATACAAGCTTGCTAGCTGCATTCCACACTGGAAAAGAACATAATTGAAGCATTAATGAATTAATGCCAGAGACTCCCACCTTATCAGAGGGGAATAGAAAGCTAAAAGAAACAGGGAATGTACACTATCTTTCCTGTTTTTCACAGCAGGACTGCGGTGTAGCCAAATGACCTGGACCAGCTTTCAGGCACAGCAAGTAAGCTGCAAATTTAAAAGGGAACACATATCACATGTACTGTATGTTTTCCCTTTTAAATTCAGAGCTTAGTGGCAAACCTTGGATTAGACTTTATTTCAGCAGTGGAAGCTTCTACCAAGAATTTAACTTTATCACCCGACCTTGATCTTTTCACCTGGTCTAGAATGTTGGGCTGTCGCAAGCTTATTTTCTCCAGGTCATTTGGCTAAACAGCAGCTACGCAAGGAAAAGCAGAATAGATACAGCACACTCCTTGTTTATTTCAGCTTTCTATTCCCCTCTGATAAGGTGGAGGGTCTTGGCGTTAATTTATTAATGTTTCAGTTGTGTTCAACAGTGTGGAACGTAACTAGTAAGCTTGTATCTAAACCTCTGGCTTTGCATATATATATAACACATACACACACACACACACACACACACACACACACGCAGCACACACACTCAGAGCAAAACAAAAGCGGGAAAAAGAGATAAAAAATCTCCACTCTGTAATAAGACAAAGTTGCCTCAAAGCCGTCATTTTCTCAGCAGGAAGCAAAATTAAGTTCATCATCGGGGCGTGAATTAATGGCCTCTCACGCTGCTTGGAAATCTATAAGGGGCTATATGTGGTTTGGAGAGAACCATTTTGCCCAGGATGTGTAATAATCGCTGAAACTGTAGAGTCGCCCTTGTGGTCCCTTTGGATAATGTTACAGTAATGTTGTGCCTCTTAATGTTTTATGAGGGGTGCTGGGCTTAACAGGAAAAAGGCGAAGAGGCTGTAAAAGCTTCTTGGCTTACAAAAACAACAGAAAAAAAGATCTCAGGGCTG